AGAGCAAATCAAGGAAATTATCCTCCCTCCAAAGAATTTTCCTATCAAATATAAACACAGTTATTGCTAGTTTCAGTGGGTAATAAGAAAAAAATAATACACCTTCATTTCAGGTACTGAAACTAGATTCCCTCGTGTGCTTGCTTGTCGTTGCAGCTTTAAAACAAAACACACACAACATAGATTTTACCTTCTTAACAACCTTAAGTGTGCATTTCAATGGTGTTATATAAGGTGGTGCAGCCACCATCCCCACCCTCTGTCTCAGTAACTCTTTCATCTAATCCAGCTGGAACTCTGTCTCCATTAAACAGGAACTCCTCATTTTCTTACCCCTAAAGGTCCTGGAAGCCACTATTCTACTAACAGTCTCTATGTCTTCCAAGTACCTCATGTAGGTGGAATCACATGGTATTTGCCTTCTTGCAACTAGTTTATTTCACTTAGCATGATATCTTTGGAGTTTATCCATACTTTAGCATGTACCAGAATTTTCTTTCTCTTTAAGGCTGACCAATACTCACTTGTATGCATACACTGTGGTTTTCTTAACCATTTAATCTGTCAGTAGATGTCTGGGTTGCTTCCACATTTTATCTATTATCAACTAGGCTGCTATTAACGTTAGTGTGTATGTAGCTCATGAAACCTTGCTTTTGAGTATATGTCTAAAAGGGGAATAATATGATTTATTTTTACTTATCATGAGAAACTGCCACATGGCTTTCTACAGTGGCTGTACTATTTTACATTCCCACCTAAGTATGCAGACATTCCAATTTCTTCATAGCCTCAATGACATCTATTTTATTTTTTTAACACAGCTATGTTAATAGTTATATTATCTCATTGCAATTTTGTTTTGCACAGTGACTAGTGAGAATCTTTTCATGTGCTTAGTATTCATGTGTATATCTTCTTTAGAGAAATGTCTGTTAAAGTGCTTTGCCCATTTTTGGATTGAGTTTATTTTTTGTCATTTACTTTTAGGAGTTCTCTATATATTCTGGGGATTAGTCCCTTATAGGTATAATTTGCAAATATTTTCTCCCATTCTGTGGGTTTTTTTTCATCTGTTGATACTACCTTTAAATGTACATTAAAAAATTCATGAAGTCCAATTTTTTTTACTTTTTCATTTGTTGTCTGTGCTGTTGGTTTCAGATCCAAGAATTCATTGGTAAATCCAATGTTCTGAAGTTTTACCTTATGTTTTCTTCTAAGAGTTTTATAGTAGTTTTATAGTAGGGTGGGTGTTGTAGCAAATCAGGTGAAGTAGCCACTTGCAATGTTGGCATCCCATACGGGCACTAGTTTGTGTCCCAGCTGCTCCACTTACAATCCAACTCTGCTAATGGCCTGGGAAGGGCAGCGGAAGATGGCCTGAGTACTTGGCCCCTGACACCCAAAAGGTAGACTGAGAGGAGGCTCCTGATTCTTGGCTTCAGCCTGGCCCAGCCCTGGCTGTTGCGGCCATCTAGGGAGTGAACCAGCAGATGGAAAACCTCTCTCTCCCCACCCTTGCCTCCTGGTTGTATTTCTGATATTAGGTGGCCAACCCCAGCCTCCTTTCTAGCTTCTTTTCCATATTCTATCCTTTTTTTCTATCAGCCAAGTCTCCGAGGTCACACTCAGACCCATCAATATCGTTGATCCTATTGGCATTCTACCAGGAGCAGTGGAACCCAAAGACTGCATGCAGAGCAATCCACAAAGTGCCACCTGCTTTTGGCCAGCTGAGTCTGGAGGGACTTCTCCAGGCTCTTCTCCAGGACTGTGAAGTGTAGCACCCTGTTTGCACAAACAGGTTGGGCCTTCTCACCCTGCCGCTATGCTTCTCCTGCCCTGTCTTCCTGTCTACCGCATTGGCTGACTTGGCTCCTTTCTGAATTTTGAGATCCTGTGCCCTGAAATCAATGACTGTCCTCTCTGAACTCTTCATCATCAAGATGTCCTCTTTTCCTCTACTAAATGCTTGAGATTCTTTGCTGGACCCGTTGCCCTACCAATTGGTCTACCTTGCATCCTAGTCCTGTCTGTGCTCCTGCTGAGGGTTAGAATTTACCCTGACCTGTCCACCTGGTGAATTGTGGAGCAAGAACTTAAACCTCATCTTCACCCATTGTTTCCTTCTCATTGATTCATTTTGACCCGACCCACATTCACATCACCCTTCCCCCAGCACACCTGCCTGGCCCATTGCTAGTGTGTATAGTAGGATTTCAATGAATGTTTCTAGAATGTGCAGTATTGTGGGGAGCAATCCGGACTGGACTGAGTTACTGGAATTAGGACTTATTCTATGCATCTGCTCTCCCACAATATGGCACTGGGAGAGAAGTAAACAGCTTCCGCACAGCTGCCTCCAGTTCAACTAATAAACTGTAGGACTTGCTCCTGATTGGAGGAGAGCAGCGTACTCGGCGTGTGGGCAGCCGAGTTGGGATTGGCGGAGGAGGACTATAAAGGAGGAGAGAGACGGCATGCACCAGGAACATCTAAGGGGAACATCTAGCTGGAGGAACACCCGTGCAGCCCCCGAGAGACCCGGCCGGCGGTGTGCCGCTCCCCTGCAGAAGTGGGGAATGTGGCCAGGGGGAACTGCCCTTCCACGGAGGTGGAAGGGACAGTAGCCAACCCGGGAAGAACCAGCAGCAAACCCGGGGAGGGCCGAGCAGACGAAAGAACAGCGCAGGGTCCTGTGTCGTTCCTCCACGAAGAGGGGGAGCGACATAATGGTGCCGTGACTCGGATATGGAGCCTAGGCAGGGCTTGGTGTTGTTCCTCCACGAAGAGGGGGAGCGACACAGTATTTCAATATCTTTACCAGGATTTATCTGTTTAAATGGACTATCCAATTAAATGTTGTTTGAGATATAACCAAGACACAAAAAGAAGCAATATTACTTCTGTCTTCCAAGACTTTTTGGTATGTAGCCTTTATAGTTCTGCAAGCATGATTACAAGCCACTGTTTGTGTTCTCACAGTTTCCATGCACCATTTTTGGTCTTGGATCTTCATATTCACAGTATTTGTATCTATGCCATTAATTTTAAACCTGATTATATACTCTTTCATATTATTTCATAACTAATTACTTAAGCTTTGTGCATTTTCATAATGCCAGTGCCCCAATAGTAACAATTATATCCATTTTGATGAAAGAAGATAGAGAAAGAATGAAAATCCCTTCATAAACAAATTCTTTCAAAGATGCTATTTGTACCAAGTGGAATTATTTTTCTTAGTTTCATTGCTGCTTATCTAGCTATTTGAGAAGCCAGCATTCTAGTCTTAACAAATGTGTAGATCTTTCATTTCTTATCACATAACCAGATGCCCATCAGTTCAAAAGCTGTTCGGTTGAAAAATAACTTGGCATTGCTGTGTTTTTCAAAATTATCTAGGGAGGGAAAACAATCATGCTTTAGGCTGTAATTTAAATAGAACTGTTTTTGTGTCCTTGGCATTTGCTACAAGCAATCAGCCTAAGTGAAATCAAACATTGAAAGATTTGGAAGGAGAACTAGGCTAGGAGATAAGTTTAATACATTTTTTCATGTTTTTCAGAGGCAACATCCCTTTGATTCCCTCTTATCATTAAATTCTGTGTGTGTTTGGTTGAAAATAAACTGAGTGAGTTTATGATTTTAAAGAAATGCCAAGTTATTCAAAAGATCAGAATCAGTCATTTTAATGTGAAAAGCAAGAAGGTAGTCTTCTGGAAATTATATTTTCGAAATCCAACTCTAGAAACTTGGGTTTTGCCTAGTGGTTAGGACACCAGTTGAGATATCCATGACCCACATCTGAATGCCTGGGTTTGATCTCCTGCTCCACTCCCAATGCTACCTTCCTGCTAACTTGTGCCCTCAGTGGCAGCAGTGATAGCCAAGACTGTTGGGTCACTGCCATCCATGTGGGAGACTCAGACTGAGTTCCTGGTTCTCAGCTTTAACCTGGCCCAGCCCCTGTGTTACAGGCATCCAGGGAGTGAAACAATGGATGGGGGTGTTCTCTCTCTCTCTCTCTCTCCCTGGAAAGTAAGTAAAAATCTAACTCTAAGAAATTTCAGTACATTTTCCAAGCATGCAACTTGTTGGGAAGCACAAGTAGCAATTCTTTTTCTGTTTATTAAAAGATTTACTTATTTGGGCACCGTGGCTCAGCGGGTTAACGCCCTGGCTTGGAGCGCTGGCATCCCATATGGGCACCGGTTTGAGACCCAGCTGCTCCACTTCCGAGCCAGCTTTCTGCTGAGGCCTGGGAAAGTAGTAGAAGATGGCCCAAATCCTTGGGCCCCTGTACCCACATAGGAGACCTGGAAGAAGCTCCTGGCTTCTGGCTTCAGATCGGCACATTTCTGGCTGTTGCGGCCAATTGGGAAGTGAACCATTGGATGGAAGACCTCTTTCTCTGCCTCTCCCCTTTCTGTCTAACTCTGACTTTCAAATAAGAATAAATAGATCTTTTAAAAAAGTTACTTATTTATTTGAAAGAGTTACATAGAGAGAGAAAGAGAGGAAGAGGGATAAGGATATGGAGAGACAGAGAGAGACAGAGAGAGAGAGAGAGGACTTCCATCCATTGGTTCACTCCCCAATTGGTTGCAACAGCTGGAGCTGGGCCGATCTGAAGCCAGGAGCCAGGACTGGCTTCTAGGTCTCCCACATGGGTTCAGGGGCCCAAGGACATGAGCCATCTTGTTCTGCTTTCCCAGGCCATATCAGAGTGTTGGATTGGAAGTGGAGCAGCTGGCACTTGAACCAGTGTCCATATGGGATGCCAGCACTGCAGGCAGTGGCTTTACCTGCTACACTACAGCCCCAGCCCCAGAAGGAATTCTTGTGATAGTTACTTGTCCAGGGAGCAAGAGAGAAGCCTCTTCACCATTCCAGTGTGTTGTTGGGGCTGGCTGAGGATTATCTACTCACGTAACCCATTCGAATGAAGAGCCCACTGCTGACCACTCCTTTTTCTTCTTCTCCTCCCTCTGTAGGTTACCTATCTGGGGAAAGTCTCCACCTCAGGCATGCAGTTTTTGTCAGGCTGCACAGAGAAGCCAGTCATTGAGCTCTGGAAGAAGCACACACTGGCTCGAGAAGATGTTTTTCCAGCCAATGCCCTCCTGGAAATCCGACCATTCCAAGTGTGGCTCCATCACCTTGACCACAAAGGTGAGGCCACTGTCCACATGGATACCTTCCAGGTGGCCCGTATCGCCTACTGCACCGCCGACCACAACGTGAGCCCCAACATCTTTGCCTGGGTCTACAGGGAGATCAATGACGACCTGTCCTACCAAATGGACTGCCATGCTGTGGAGTGCGAGAGCAAGCTCGAGGCCAAGAAGCTGGCACACGCCATGATGGAGGCCTTCAAGAAGACTTTCCACAGTATGAAGAGTGACGGACGGATCCACAGAAACAGCTCCTCTGAAGAGGTTTCCCAGGAATTGGAATCCGATGACGGCTGAGTGAACTTAAGATGCTTTGGCAAAGGCAGCATTGGTCAAGGAATTCAAGATGATTGATGAAGACGCAATGATTCAAATTTGAGCTGCAAAGACTGCCAAACTATTGGCTGACCATGCTTTTTAAATTCAGAAGAGCAATCCTAAATCTAAAGAAATGTATCATTAAAGTAATTACGTTACATTGAAATCTGCTGCTGCTGTGACTGTGAGGAGGGTGGTAGTGTGGATGGGGAGGAAGGTTCTAGACTCTCTTCTTACTATTTTTTTTTTCTCATTTCCTGATGCCTCCCTGTGGGAGAGCTCCATGCCTATTTTCACCACTCTCAGGCAAATGCTCCATGGCTGTTATTTGAAGGACCATTCCAATCTGCCTTATGAAATCCAACACGAATGTTAGCAGCACCGGTAGGATCCCTGGTGCAAGTGAGCGGAGGGAGCTGCGGATGCTGGTGCGGATGTGGCAGGTGCAGGGACACCTCCTGATGGTCCTGAGAGCTCCTCTCCCACCGCGTATCTTAGACTTTCTCCTCAGTATGCAAATCAGCACAGCCTTTATTGAGCTTTATAACTAACAACCTGATAGTTGGCAGTTAATTCACAGTTAAAGATGAAGCTTTTATTTTACATAAATATATCAAGTAGTACCCTCTTATTGTATTCACTTCACCTATTTTCTTAGGATACTTGCAACTACTAATAACCCTTCCCTCCTCCTATCCTATCCACCCCTTCTTCCCTCCAACATCCCGAGAGGGATGGATTCTCAACATACACTGCAGGACACCAAAAGGGAAGAAAATAACCAAGCAAAGGAGACAAACAATCAAGCAAACAAACCTGAAATTTAAAACAACCACCACAAAAGCAGAAATGCTGGAAAAAGGGAATAAGTAATCAGCAAGTGAGAAAACCATGAGGGCCCCCTTTCCAACATGAATTCTGCTAATTTATATAGTTAATGGTCCTGTTTGATGAATCCTTCATGGCAAGCTTCAAATCTGATTTGACCTCACCTGGAAAACTTTACCCCATCACTGGACATTGCACTCACATGGGATGAGTTAGAAAACTTAGCTTATGTAGAGAACCTATGTCCATCTTATCCTAAATGGAAAATCTTGTTACCTTAAAGTTGAGGTTCTCTTAGAATCGCCCATTTGCTCATGATGTATAATGTGAAATTCTCCCTAAGCCTGAGATGTCTCAGTTTCATGAATCTTTAATGTAAACAAAAGAAGTCAACTTTGCGTGAAGTTGAAAGTGTTAAAAGTACACACATTTAAGGCCAAGAGCAGATGCATCTCCCAGGTAATGCCGCTCCTTCATAAGACTCTGGCTTCAATCCTGGTATTGGCAGGGGCACTGGGGCACCTTAGAAGCCTTAAATGAGAGTTAATCTAATCCAGTGAGTGATGGTATTGGCTTTTTGGTCTGTGCATCTGTGTGTCCATGTGTGCGTTGTGTGTGTGTACGTGTGCCCTTCGTGTGCGGGTCCAGTGTTCAGCATGTATAATAAGCATGGGGTCATATTGAGGAGGACTCGCCTCTCGAAGATATGCTTGTTGCTTTACAACATATGTAAACAATCCTTTAGCATAAATGCATTCATTCTTTAATAAAAATATGTTTGCATTAATAAAACTGAGGAGTTTCTTATTCTATGTGTCTTTTTCAAGCAAGGAAAATCAGAAGAAGATAGATAAAATTGGATAAGTAGGACAATTCTATTTCAACATATTTTTAAGCTTGGTCATATGTAACACGTTCTTGATTGTGTTTTATTTTCCAAATCTGTAATCTGTGATTAATTGCTGGCCTGCTCCTTAGCCGAAAAGGTGACATGCCAGCAGTTGCAGTTGTTATTTAGTGTGGACTTATTTCCGAATAGAGTCTTCCAGAACATTTTGCAAACGATTGCTGTTTACAACATCTCTTGTAGATCTTTGGAGAACCTACACTGAAATCCTAGAAACTAAATGCTGAGTGATTCCTGCTGATGGAACTCATTAAAAATGTCTCCTGCAGGTCATGATTTCTCAGAGTGGGTCCCATTAATCAAGCAAGACAAGAAGCCATGGAGCCTGTGAGTTGTAAAGAATGTTTTTCATGGAATCAGTAACAAATATAAAGCCTTCTAAAGTAGAAATCTGGGTCTGGCACTGTGGCTTAGAGGATAGAGCCACTGTTTGTGGTGTCAGCCTCCCACATGGGTGCGGGTTCAAATCTCAGATGGTCCACTTCCAATCTAGCTCCCTGCTAATGCATCTGGGAAAGCAGCTGAAGATGGCCCAAGTCCTTGTGCCCCTGCACCCACATGAGAGACCCAGGGGAAGTTCCTGGCTCATGACTTCAGACTGGCCCAGCTCTGGCTGTTGCGGCCACTTGGGGAGTGAACCAGCGATGGAAGATCTTTCTTTCTCTCTTTCTCTACCTCTCTCTACAACTTTGCCTTTCAAATAAGTAAGTAAATATTTTTTAAAAAGTAGAAATATCAGTGCCTGCTAAAGAGATTAACTCAAGTGAGAATGGCTACCCAGCTCTTCGATTGAACAGCATTTCTCACAAGTTGGACTTTTCCCAATTTTGGTTTTACTTCATTGTTCTTGAATGTACATTTAAAAGGAAAAAAAAAAAAAAACACTGGACATGATGTATTTTGAAACCATACTATTTTCTTCTCTGAGTGGAACTTAAGTTGAACCCCGTGGTTATTGAAGAAAGCATTTGCTGGTATGTTTGTTTAGGGTCCTAAATATGATGTAATGAGTAACTGGCTCTGATAGGATTGGCACAAGGTTTTGCCTGGGGTGATTGGTAAAGGGTGGTTCAGCCATACATCAGTTTTAATGCTTTGTATTCTCCCTTTCTGTACCATATTTTCTATGCTAGTGGCCGTGGTTACAAAGCACTTTCATGTACATTACTCTTATGCTCCTCAGAAGATTCCTCTAAGCAGGCATGGCCATGACTTTGCAGCTGAAGAACCTGAGACTCAGAGAGGTTGCATAAGTTGGCCAAGGGACAACAGCTAACATGCGCTTGATGAAAGTATAGCCATTTGGCTTCAAATCCAAGGCTGTAGTTCTGTCTAGGCAAGCTCCACCTGCTTTGGATTTTTCTTTTTATTCCATTCCCCTGAAAAACCTGTTAGCATATTGTCAGCACATTAAGCCATTAGAGATAAACTTTCTCGGCTATTCCATTTTGAAGCAATTTTTGTAGCACAAATAATGCAAGATGAGATTTTCATTAAGTATTTTGCTGGTTCTGGGCAGTAGACGGATATTTCCCTCTCTCAGAGAGTCACGTCCCTGTTTTATTTTCCCCAGGATGTGTTAAAACTCAGTCAAGTCCTTCTGTCATAGGATTCCATAGCATCCTGTAATTTTCTTTGTGTCATTCATTATAGTTTTAAATTTCTTGTTTCATTGAATTATTATCTGGTTAGGCCTCTTGGGTCCATAAGAAGGGGGTTTTGTCTCTTCTGTTCATGTTTTATCCCCAGCTCTTGGGGTCAGTGCAACACCTGGGAGTACCTCAGTCTGTGACTGTTAGCTGCCTAGCAGGAACACACAGAAGGAACAACCACTGTGTGCATCCTTGACTCACCTGCTCCAGGACAGAATCCTGTAACCCTGGAAGGTCTCCCAGCGACTTCCATGCTGCAGGTTTGATATGGTTTTCTGTCCAAGGGGATGTGGTGATGACTGAAGTCTTCATAATTCTCTCTCCCTGTATTCCAAATACACCCAAAACTAATCTCAAGTGAAAGCGAAGATTCCTGTAATTGTCAGAGGCAACCTCAAAAGTCTTAGAGATCTTCAAGAAACTTTTCTGTGAGTTGGCAAAGTTTGGCTCTTGGAACGATTTTATGAGATGCAGTATTTATCTGAAAACTTTGGCTATTCCTTCGGAAGAGGAGCCAACTAATAATAGCTGCCAGGAGAAAATATCTGTTGAGCGTGCACCCAGTCTTAGAAAAGCAGCTAGACCGGGAGAGCAAGTTGCGATGAGGAAGAAAAATCTAGAACGTCTTATTTTGGACATTTTCAAATAAACTGCATTTGTTGAAAATGAATATGAGGCCTGATCTTGTATACTTGAGTGAAGCTGACATTCATAAAGAGATTTCAGCAAAATGTTTCTTTTGGAATGTCCCAGTAACATTATCTGTGGTTTTGCGTATCCACCCAAAATTGGAAATTCAAGAAGAATCTGGAGATTTTGCTTTGGAAACTTACGGTTTTCACTTTAAAACATTCTTGAGTTCCTACTAAGTTTTCAATAGCTTGGTGTGGAGACTACTATGAAATTACACGTATGTGATCTGAAATGTGATTACTGAAATATTAAGCATATGTTCAATGATTATCAATATTTTCCATGTGTATAGCTTCCTCCAGTGGCTAAATAAACTCTGCTCTGTGAGGCCTGCTTGGGATCAGACCAGTCAGCACGAGTCCTCATTGCCTTCTTTATCCTCTGGGGGCAGCATAGGAGAAACACTTAAGGAAATCCCCACTTGGAAGAAGGAGCCAAGAGTTGGCTGTATTACCTGTATTCCACTTCTTTTTAAAAAGTGACTGAAATTTAGAAATTAAAACTGCCAATATTTATAGTGTACAACATGATGTTCTGAAATATGTATACATTGTCTAATGGCTAAAGCAAGGTTATTACCATATGTCTTACCTCATTATATACTTTGTATGTGTTTATTTGAAAGGCAGAGTGACACAGAGAGAAGGAAACACACAGAGAAAGGGATCTTCCATCTGTTGGTGTACCTCCCAAATGCCTGCAACTGCCAGACTGAGCTAGGCCAAAGCCAGGAATCCAGAGCTCCAACCTGGCCTCCTATGTGGGTGGCAGGGACCCAAGTACTTGGGCTGTAATATGCTGCCTTCCCAGGCACCTTAACAGGAAGCTGGATCAGAAACAGAGTAGCTAGGAGTCATACCGGTGTTCTAATATGGGATGTGGATGTCCCCAGTGGTGTCTTAACCCACTGCCCATGCATATATACTCTTTTAAAAAAATTTTTAAACACTTAAAATTTACTCTCTTAGCAGTTTTCAGGAAATTAAAGCCACAGTGCGATATTAACCTCACACCATTAGGATGGCTGTTAAAAAAAAAAAAAAAAAAAAAAAACTGAAAAATCTTTGTTGTTGAGAATGTGGAGGAAAGGGAATCTTTGAACCCTTCCAATGGGAAAACACTGATGTAGCCATTATGGAGAGCAGAATGGAAGTTCCTAAAATTAAAATAGATCCAGCAGTCCCAGGGTGTCTAAAGAAATTCAGTGTTTTGAAGAGATCCCTGCACGTGCATGTTCACTGCATCATTATTCACAACAGCCAAGATACGGCGTCTGCCTAAATGCCCATCGAACTAGGAGCCCTGACGGAAAATGTGGAGTGCCTACAAAGGGGTACTGCACAGCTTCAAAAAGGAAGGAAACCCTGTCATTTGTAATAACATGGCTGCACCTGGGTCATATATGGAGGACATTATGTGGTTGGCAAACCAGAAACAGGAACACAAATAGCACACGATCCCATTTACATGTGGAATCTAAAAACTTTCAACATACAGAAGGAGAAAGAGGTTTCTACTGGCCAGCGGTTTAGAAGGTGAACGAAATGTTGATCCAAGAGTATTATATTTCAGGTGGATAGGAGGAACAGATACAAGAGCAGCATGGTGACTGTAGTGAATTCATTGTACTCACTTCTTTTTTTTTTTTTTATCTTTTATTTAATGAATATAAATTTCCAAAGTACGACTCATGGGTTACAATGCCCCCCCCCCCATACCGTCCCTCCCACCCACAACCCTCCCCTTTCCCACTCCCTCTCCCCTTCCATTCACATCAAGATTCATTTTCGATTATCTTAATATACAGAAGATCAGCTTAGTATACCTTAAGTAAGGATTTCAACAGTTTGCTCCCACACAGAAACATAAAGTGAAAAATAATAGATGGGTTTTTTTTAAATGATGATGAAATCAGATCAGACCTATTGTCATGTTTAATCCCAGTGAGAGTCAAGTTGGGAATTGATAATTTCTTTCTTTTTTTTTTTTTTTTACAGAAGATCAGTTTAGTGTACATTAAGTAAAGATTTCAATCGTTTGCACCCCCATAGAAACACAAAGTGAAATATACTGTTTGAGTACTCGTTATAGCATTAAGCCTCAATGTACAGCACATTAAGGACAGAGATCCTACATGAGGAGTAAGTGCACAGTGACTCCTGTTGTTGACTTTACAAATTGACACTCCTGTTTATGGCATCAGTAATCTCCCTATGCACCAGTCATGAGTTTCCAAGGCTATGGAAGCCCCTTGAGTTCTCCGACTCTTATCTTGTTTAGACACGGTCATAGTCAAAGTGGAGGTTCTCTCCTCCCTTCAGAGAAAGGCACCTCCCTCTTTGAAGACCTGTTCTTTCCACTGGGATCTCACTCACAGAGATCTTTTTGCCAGAGTGTCTTGGCTTTCCATGCCTGAAATACTCTCATGGGCTTTTCAGCCAGATCCGAGTGCCTTTAGGGCTGATTCTGTGTACTCACTTCTTAATGTAAATTTTGGATCAATGAGGGAAGGTTTGTCATTGGTCTGAACACAGTGGCTG